CCTGTTTCGGTTCAAAACTGCAGGTGCACTGGTCGACGGTGACAGAATTCCAAAGAGTGGTCACCAGGGGGAGGCCACTGATGATGGGGGTGTGGGGGAGGGCAGACCGGGGTTCGGTCTGCACCCTGTAGTCATGCAGATGTGTTCACTTTGTAAACATTACAGCTCTTATAAAAATTAACTCAAAATGGATTCCACAAAAAGGAATCTTAAATGCATACTAGGTAAGTGAAAGAAGCCAGTCTGGACAAGCTACCCCAAACACTGCCAACACCTAAACTTGCAACACTAAACTTTGACGCTCTTGGAAGATAAAGTAGAGGACAAAAATCCAGGTGACCTCGGGTGTGGTGACGAATTTTTTCCTCTAACACCAAAGACACGAATGACCCATGACAGAAATAACTGATAAACTGGACTCCATTAAAATTAAAAACCTCTGCCTTCCAAAAGACACTGGTAAGACCACGAAAAAGACGAGCTACAGGCTGAGAGAAAACATTCGCAAAGCAGACATCTGATAATGGTCTGGGAGGCAAAACAGAGAGAACTCTCAAAACACAACAATAAGAAAACCCAATCTACAAACAGACAAAGATATGAACAGACACCTCCCCAAACAAGATGCACCCAGGGCAAGTAAGCGTATGAGAGGAGGCTGCCCCTCACACGTCATCGGGGAAGTGCAACTGATACAACAACAGTGAGATCCCGCTATGTACATATGAGAACAGCCAAAACCCCAAACACCGCCAACACCAAATGCTGGGAGCGTGTGACACCACAGGGACGCTCAGTCACTGCTGGTGGGGACGCACCGTGGCGCAGCCACTCAAGAAGACGGCTGGGCGGTTTCCTACAAAACCAAACATGCTCCTACCACATGCTTCTAGGTATTACCCAAATGAGTCGAAAATTTAGGTCTACACAAAATCCTGAACAAAATGTCTACAACTGCTTTATTCGTAATTGCCAAACCCTGGAAGCAACTGAGATGCCCTTCAGTAAGGAGGTGAATGGATGTCCATCTAGACAGTGGAGTATTAGTACTAAAGAGAAATGAGCTACCAAGCCACAAAGACACGGAGGAATCTTAAATGCATACTAGGTAAGTGAAAGAAGCCAGTCTGGACAAGCTACATACTGTATGATTCCAAGTGTAGAATACCCTGAAAAAAGTAAAACCATGGCGACAGGAGAAAGGTCAGTGGTGGGGAGGGGTAAGGGGAGAGGGAGGGAGGGAAGAGATGGAGCACAGAGCATATCTGGGTGGTGAAATTATTCTCTACACTACTGTATGGGGATACAGACGCTCTGCATTTGTCAAAATCCACAGAATGTACAAACAAGAGTGAGCCTTGTTGTGAACTCAGAGCTTTAGTTAAACCACAAAGCATCAACACTGGTCCATCAACTGTAACAAACGTCCACGTGAAGCTAGATATAGCTAACAGGGGAGCTTCGGGGGGCAAGGGGTGTATGGGAACTCTGTACTGCCAGCTCAATTTCTCCATAAACCTAATACTGCTCTAAAGAGCAAAATCTATTAATTTTTAAAAACTTGTGGAACTGAACACTGTGTGGCATGCATGTTATATTTCAACAACAAAAGAAAATACATCTTAAGTGAGGCTCTAGTGAGGCTAGGTGCTGAGCCATGGGGACCCCCGAGCAGGAGCTGCTGGAGGAAGCCCAGCCCTGCCCAGGTGGGGGGCACCTTTGGCTGAATCTCAGGGGGGTAAGACACTGAAAAGAACTTGTTTTGGACTTTAACTTAGGAATTTAGGACTTTGAATTTTAATTCATAATGACAAAATTTGATTTTGGAGTTTAATTTCTTTGGACCTCAACTTGCAAGGAGATTTAATTTTTGGACTAATTTCTCTCTGGGAAATTCATAATGGAAAGGGGTTTATATTCAAATCAGGAGCATCTCTCTGTGGCTGGCCTTTTGAATTAAACTGCCTGAACACTATCTATTTAACCTCACCGCAGAACCTCTGGTGAGCTGCCCTGGATAGAGCGGCTAGATGGGGCTAGGAACAGGAAATGGAAGAGGAGATACTTTCTCGGCAACAGGTGCACGGGAGTCTTGAAGTCAATGCACTATTCTGATCCATTTCAGAACCTTCTGGGGGCATGAGCTCAACTGTCCACCAATGGTCCCAGGAGCATCGGCAAAGGGAAGGCAGTTGGTTTGGGACAAGTGGTCCCAGGATGGTTGGGAAACCCAGGGAGTGGAGAGAACAAAACCTAGGACTGTCACAGGAGAGCTTCCTGGCCTGGCCATGCACTTCCGTGCCGGGGGCCTCCCGCACTCACCCTCTGCCCCACGCATGCTCCTCCCCAGGCCAAGAGCAGCTCATCAGCTGGAAGGTTTGGGAGATGGAACAGGGCCTGAGCTGTGCCCGCATCCCCTCTCTCTTCTTTCCAGATTTGTCTGAAGAAAGCGAGGATGCTGGGGTCCTCAGGCAACAGGGCATCAGGGCTCTACCCCAGGGTCTACGGCCAGGTGGTCCTACCTCTGCCAGCAGCAAAGCCCATCCAACGGGGTGAGCGCCAGCAAGCACGCCCAGCTCTCGCAGGCTGACCAGCGCCTGCAACAGTTCTGACCCTCTGTACCGGTTCTGACCTTGGGCAAGGGAGACCCCATGTACCTGTGACCCCTCGTGCCCGGCTGACTGGCCAACCCTGTCTGTTGTTTGTTTTCTAAGCATTTATGCTTATTTTAAAATTTCTTTCCTTCGGGCGCCTGGTGGCTCAGGGGGTTGAGAGTCTGCCTTCAGCTCAGGTCATGATCTCTGGATCCTGGGATGGAGCCTCGCATGTGGTGGGGAGGGGGGTGTCTCTGCTCAGCAGGGAGTCAGCTTCTCCCTCTGCCCCTCCCACTCCCCGCTTGTGCTCTTCCTCTCTCTCAAATGAATAAATAAAAATCTTTAAAAACCTTTGAAAAAATAAAATTTCTTTCCTTCTACTTTTATTGCATTTGTTCTGGGTTTTTTCCCCAAACTTCTTGAGTTGAACAATTAGATCAGCATTTTAAAAAATACTTTCTTCTTTCCCAATACAAGCATTAAAACTGTAAATTTCCCTATAAATACCATTTTATCTGTATCTCATTTGTTTTACAATATTTGCAATATGATTTCGTGATTCAGCTTTAAATAACCATTTCTATTTTGGTTTCTTCATTGACCTAAGGAATCATTAAAAGTATGTTTAAAAATTAAAAAAAAAAAAAAAAAAACGGCAGTTCAGAGCCTTTTTGGGAGAGGGAGTGGTCGATTTCTGATCTGGTGTTGCCGTCAGAGAATGTCAGGCTGTTAGATGGGATACTGGGTCTCTGGGAACACAGTGATGCCTGTGCAATGGCCTAAAACAGGTGCACATGTACACAAATGATCAGTTCTCATGAGTCTCTCAAGTATGCTTGGAAAGAATGCACATCCTCTAAATTGGTTCTATAGGTTTTATAAGACCATCTTTTTAAATCATATTCTATAATAACCTTGATTATTTTCTGCCTGATGTGTCAATTCACTGAGAGGGATGTCAAACCTTCCGCGACTATAGGTTTGTCAATTTCCCCTCCTAAAGTCTGTCAATGTTTCTTTTGTATTTTGAGGCTGTTTGTTGGAAGTTCACAGGTTCAGAATTATTTATTTTCCTAGTGATTATTCTCTCGATTATATTTAATAGGCTTCTTTATCCCCAGGACCGCATTTGCCTTTTGTCTCTTTTGTCTGATGCTAATGTTGCTAAACTACTTTCACTCCATTAGCATTTGGATATGGCATTTCCCACTTGTTCTTTCTACTGAAGAGGCAGCAAGGGTTCACAGCTCTGCCCCTTACAAGCCCAACGAATGGCCATAGAGAGGTAACTGATCATCGATAAAAACAACAACATATTTGATATGTTTCAATCCACTGCGGTGTAAATCCACTAGTTTATAATAATGCCAGAAACAAAAGCCGTTGGCCCCACTCTCAAAGGATGCTAAGGAACTGGCTCGTTATTTCGAAAATCCACAAATAAAAGGGAAGAAGTGAACATTATTCTGACTTTCCTACATGGACCACACCTCCAGGTAACCCAATAGTTGGCGAGGGGCAGTTTCTCTCTATGGAAGCATTCCAGCTCCGGAAGGAGAACGTCACCACTGTTCAAACTTGAGCAAAATAATCAGCCTGTGGGCAACAGTCCTGACGGCACTGAGGTGGTACAGAAAGGAGGGACCGGTCACTGCGCAGCTGCGGGAGGTGGTGAGGACAGCCCCGGCCCCAGAGTTCCTGCCCAAAACACAAAAAAGCCTCTGACCATGCAGAGAGATCTCACTCCCAATGACCAGGAGAAACGGGACAGGGAGGGACACTTTAATGGTCACCCTGGGAAGCAAAACCCAAATGCAGACTGTGGGAAGCTCTGCAGGATGAGCAGGAGCAGTGCGGCTACTTCAACCAGCAACACGAAAACCAAGCCTGGGGGCGGCAGAGTCACACTCAAGAGTCACATCCGCAGCTACACACTGCCTGAGAACTTGAGCTCAACAAACTATTACAAACTGTACCCCCCAAAAAAACAAACCCTCCTTCCATCCTCAAAAAAAATTTTTGTTTTTGAAGTTACTGGGAAAATTTTAACATCAGCTAAATATTTAATGACATTTAAGGGATTATTATTAATTTCAAGTGGGATAATACTGAGTTTATGTTTTTCAAACAGGACTCCTTAGTCTTTAGATCTACATAAGGAAATATTCACAGGTGAAATTATACAATGTCTGGGATTTGCTTCCAAGTGACCTGGGGTCTGGGTGGGGACGCACTTGACAGCTGCTGGAGGGAGCTCACTGGTAGGAGCACTGGCTCATCATACTGTTCTTTCAAATTCTGCATGTGCTTGAAAATTTTCACCGTACAGTATTCTGTAAATAATAAAACTTACAAACAAGGCTCAGTGCTGGATTCCTCGCGTCTGCCCGATGCACGAGCACTTACCAGCTTCAGAGGAGTCATCCTTGTCAGTGAGAACGAGGAGGTGCAACAGGGAACCAGAGCGTGTCCTGCCCGTCTCGTCCAGCCCAACCAGCTGCAGGCGTGGAGTGGTCACGGGTGGGAAGCGGTAGAACTGGAAGGTGAAATACACGGTCTTTGGCCACGGCGCTCCCTGGCAGTCCTGGGACACTCTGAATCCAATAAGAGCCCCCAATTAATCAAGTAACCATAGCAGAGAACCTGGGCATTCGAGAGTCCGGCACCACAGGCCAGACGCTGCCTGGTCTGCCCACGTGAGTGGCTCTACTGGGACCTCGGGGAGCCCGCCAGACAGCAACCCACTTGAGCCCCAGCTGGAGAACACTGCTCTCAAAGCTGCACGAATACCAAGAATTGGCCAACATAACACGGTCCACATTCAGTTACAGAAGATCGGGCAAAGCCGGTTTTACTGCATTTAGAGACGGCTGTGTGAGGGTCCCCGCCAATTGAAAACAAAAACAGATAGCATTCCTTCATCCAGTAAGGCCTCAGCAAGAGTTCTGCCAGCTCAGAGCCACACAGGAGTGAAAGTTCCTTCAACGCAAGGAAAGCACAAGACAGGTAAAGAGTAACGGAGACAGAACATTTAAGAACGCACCTGCTGAAGGCGAGGAACTGTAGCACTATTTCGTTGCTTTGTAGACAATCTGATTCTTCCTTTTGAGGGTTGAATTTAACGGGATCTGTAGGATTTACAGCCTCAGCTGGTTGCTTATTGGCATCCAGAATCTCGGGAAAGCCGGAAGCCTGCAGGAGCACCATTGAGGCTCGCGAGAGCTTACTTCCAGAGCTGAAACACAAAGACCACGGAGGCCAGCCTCCAGGAAAGGGCAGGCAGAGAGGCAGGACCTGTGCCCCCCCCGCCCCCGGGGGAAGCCTGTTATTGAGAGTCAGTGTTCACGGCACAGCACGTGCCGGGCCCTCAGGGCCACCCCTCACCTCCTGGCCTGGGCTCCCACGACAATCGGGGTGTGCACCGGCGTGAAAGGCAGCTCCCGCAGCTGATCCGCAACGGAGGCTCCCAGGACCAAGGACGCCTGGCTCAGCTGGGCCTCCAGGTGAGAGATCCTGCCCTCTAAAGGGAGCCCCTGCTGAGCAAAATGCAGCCCCAGGTGAGGCCAACAAGGATCCCAGCCTGTAACCACCAAGAAGGCTGGGATGGGGGGGTGTCCATGGATGAATCGCCTCTGTCAGACTGCTGGCTTCAGCAAAGGAAAATATGGGACGCCCAGGTGTCTTTTACACTTGAGATGAACAGTGAATAATTTGGGTATAATGTAAGTATGTCCCATGAAATATCTGGGACTTACACTAAAAAGTCACTGCTTTTCTGAAATTCTAATTTATCTGGGTATCTCATATTTTAAGTGAGTCAAAAAGCAATGAGAATTGTGTGAGAATTCAATCAATTTTATGAACAGGTACCATGGGAGAGATCTGCTGCTGTCTGAGAACGTCAATTAACATAAAAACCGCATTGATAGACCAGAAAAATGAACCCTCCTTCAACACCGCAAGACAGACTGGTACCCAGCCCCTGGCTGGCCTCTGATCCCTGCGTCACCTGAATATTCTCGTCTGTCCAGAGCAGAAGACGTGTCTAAATGAAGAGCCTGTCTGGGAATCAGAATGCTCTCATGCCGACTTCCCTAGCTTTCTGTTTCAGCTCAAAAGGGAATACCACAGAACCAGAGATAACTCCAACATGTCTCAGCTGCCAATTATAAGAGATGCAGGCTCTTCATAAATGAGCCCCAGACATATTCTGGTACTGTTTCCAAATAAATAATTTAATGGCACTATTTTTCCTCAGTAGACTTCCAGTACAAGACTGAAAATACATACGGTTTGCAGGTGAGCCAGTCAGCTTTTGAAACCAAACTTTATGTGAATTCCCCAAGGTCAGTGGAAACATAGGCCTATTTTGCCCTCTGGATGCATCAGAATCCAGGATGGTGGGCTTCACCGCTTCTCCTTCAGCAGCTGACGGCAAGGAGAGTGTCCTGGAGCGCTGGAGGCTCGGATCGACCTCATTTCTATCTCTGGCAAAACTTTCCTTCCCCTTTCATGTACAGAGATCTGAGGGTAGTCTAACTTCGTCTTGTCAGGTGGAGCAAAAGCCTAATTAAGCCCCACGGCAGGAAGAGCTCCCACACCAAACGCTCCTTGGCCAACAGGACAGAGTGGTGGCAAGTACCCGAAGCGTGGAAGAAAGCCAGGCTCCCCCACCCCGTCCCTACGCCCATGTCACAGAGAACCCATGAAGGTCTCGCCACCTCACCAAGGACCAGCACAGCTCACAGAGTCAGACTTCGGCGGAAGCCCTTCCCTGGAAGGAGGAAGGGTGGGCCTACTTACCTCCTGAGCCAGGGGGCGCGCAGAGCTGTCGGGATGCCGGGAAGATGGTGTGGCCGAGCGGCACCGAGTGGGGGACCGTGGGGGAGCCGCCAGCTGGGAGAGCGACAGCTAGAGGGCAGGAAGCGTGCATGAGAATGTGAAAGGCAGCCCAGCACGTCACGGAGCCCCCCACTCGCGCTGGCACAAAGCCAGGAGACGCGGCACGGTCCAGAAGGCAGTGGGGTCTGCGACCACCTGCCCGGCGGCCACTCCAGAACCCGGAGCCGCTCCTAAGCTCCGTTACTGGAGTCCTGAGAGGCAAGACTGTGACCCCTCCCACAGGTAACATCGGCATGAAAATGGTATTAACAAGGAACAGCAGGTGGAGGAGAGGAAGAGCCAGGGAAGCCACGTTCTCCGCCACCCATGGGCAGCGGGGCGGCTGGTCTTCGAACCTCCCCAGGTTTCACTTCCAGCCGGGGACTGAACACCTGCAAGGCCCCTTCCAGGTCTGCAGACAGCAGCCAAGACCGAACCCCTGCTCCACCATTAATACTATTATCACCATTATCGCGTGACTGAGGGCAAGTCACCGAGTCCTTTCTTTACCTCGGTCTCCTCATCTGCAAAGTGGGGTGAAAACAGTCCCTAAATCACAGGACTATCATGGGAGTTAAACGAGAAGTCCTGGAATGTGTAAGTAAGTAGGTAAGCCTTCCGTAAAGGCCGCAGATGTCTGGAAAGTGAATGCAGCTGTGAAGGGGTCCACACCCCACGGAAGACCCGCCTCTCAAGTCCCGGACTGTTTCTAACACACACTGACAGCTGGCCCAACGCGGTGCTGCTACAGAGGGACTCAGCACGTGAGGAGGTGTCGGAAGAGTGGCCGGGGGGAGGGTGTGTAGCAACGGGGGACCCTGCAGCATTGTCAGGGGGCAGGGAAGAGCTGTGGGGGTCTGTTCGGCTCCCCTCAGACCCCACACGCTGCCTCTGGGAGCAGGCAGCGCTGCTGTGTGGTCCCTGAACACTGAGGGTGACGTGCACACTACTGGACGGAAAACCCTGGAGCAGGCCAGCAGGGAAGCCTGGGGGCTGTATCCACACACGTGTCTTGAGGCAAACACAACATTCGCTCCTGAGCCGGTTCCCAAGCTGCACGGTGCACAGTAAAGCTGCTCCCTTGGGACAGCCTTTGACACTGAATTTACCCGACTTTTCTAGAAAGTCATTTTCCAGGGTGATCCTGGCAGACAAAGTCATCAGAAGACACGCCAACTCTGACCCTGCACAAAATGACGCTGCCGGAACCGCGGGCGAGCACCACGACCAGCTCAGGTTTCCAGGGGCCAGTGGCCTCACTGGCCTCTCTTCCCACGCAGGAGACCCTCGCACCCGGAACCACCTGCTGTCTGACAGGCGGGCGGCGGCCAACACGCCCGGTCTCTGTTGGCCGTGGGCCGGCTCCGCCAGCACCAGATGCTCAGCCTACAGGCCTGGCTGTGGCCTCGTGGCCCGGGGCACCAGGGGCTGCCAGTTAGGAAAGGAGCAGATGAAGACCACACCGTGGTGCCTCAGGAACAAACAAAGGCTGTTCGGCCCTGAAAGGTTCTCAGCTATTAGCCATACTGCCAGGGAAGAAGTATTGAACGTGCCTTTTGACGGCAGCCTGGAAGGTCACTAATCATGGCTGGCAGCCGCCGGCCGCACAGCCAGGCAGGACGGGGACAGGATGGGGACGGGACGGGGACGGGACGGGGACGGGACGGGGACGGGACGGGGAGGGAACGGGATGGGGATGGGACGGGGAAGGGACGGGGAAGGGACGGGGAGGGAACGGGACGGGGAAGGGACAGGGACGGGACGGGGACAGGGAGGGGATGCGGAGGGGATGGGGAGGGGACGGGGACAGGACGGGGAGGGGACGGGGAAGGGACAGGGACGGGACGGGGACGGGACGGGGACAGGACGGGGACGGGACGGGGAAGGGATGGGGACGGGACGGGGATGGGGAGGGGACAGGGACAGGATGGGGAGGGAACGGGACGGGGATGGGATGGGACGGGGACGGGACGGGGACGGGACGGGGACGGGACGGGGACGGGACAGGACAGGGACGGGACGGGGACAGGAACGGGGACGGGACGGGGATGGGGAAGGGACGGGGACGGGACGGGGACGAGACGGGACGGGGACGGGGACAGGATGGGGAGGGAACGGGACGGGGAGGGGATGGGGACGGGACGGAGATGGGACAGGGACGGGACGGGGAAGGGACGGGGACGGGGATGGGACGGGGACAGGACGGGATGGGGATGGGACAGGGACGGGACAGGACGGGGACAGGACAGGGACAGGACACGGCCAGCACACCCCCCGGTCCCCAGCCTCAGCAAAGCAAACAGGATACCACTGTTTTTAAGATGCAGAGAAGTGTCCTGCCCCTGGGGCCTTTAAATAACTGATTTTGGAATTCTGAAACAGGCCTCTCGGGCTGGACTTACCCCTGGTCCCACAGGCGAGTCCTGGAGGGCAGCGAGCCCCTGCTGCGGCGCTGGCGGGCCTGGGGGGAAGCAGAGGGGGGGGAGGGGCGCCCATGAGCCACGGGGGTGCCCAACTCAGTCAGGGCCTGGCCCGTCTGCCCCCTGGCTGGGGCCGGTGTTGCCACGGGTGCTGGGCCGTCCGATCACTCAGCAGCGTGTAGAAGACCTGGGGCGCACGCAAGAGCAAGGGCCACTCCCCCAGGTCACAGCCTGGGAGAATGGAACCTGAGGTCGTCTGCTGTCACTCCGGCTCCCCCCCAACCTGCCTGGCCTCACGCTTTCTGATCGTGTGTGCTCACCCCAGGCCGTCGGGGCGTCCTGACATGGAAAAGCTGCCAAGAGAAGTTAGAGAGTGGGAAAGGCAGGTTACCGGACAAGCTGCCTGTGTCCGCTCATCCATGTTAAAGGGGAAGAGAGTTTAAAGAAAAAGCGTAGTGGGGCACCTGGGTGGCTCAGTCGGTTGAGCGACTGCCTTCGGCTCAGGTCATGATCCCAGGGTCCCGGGATCGAGCCCCACATCGGGCTCCCTGCTCGGCAGGGAGTCTGCTTCTCCCTCTGACCCTCCCCCCTCTCGTGCTCTCTATCTCATTCTCTCTCTCAAATAAATAAATAAAATCTTTAAAAAAAGAAAAAGCATAGCAGAGGCAGGAGCATAGGTAAATCCACCGAAGTTCACAGGGCGGGGGCGAGGGTAAGGGGCTGTCGCTTCACCCTTTATGCGCATGAGTGAGCATGGATATCCATGTATCGCTTGTGGAATTAAAAAGAACTTAAAACTTAATTTAATGATCATTACAAGGTGAACCAGTGACAGTGGTCAGCTCGGCCGCGCCAACGGAGACACCCTAAGCAGCCGCTGGCCCCGGAGTCTCTCCCCACACGTGCCCCTTGCTGGGGAGCCACAGGGCTCTGGTTTCCAGAAGAACATGGAAACGCAGAGAGGACCGACGGCTTTGGCACACGCCCTGGGCAACCCACGGGCCACAGAGCCCGGGAAGCCGTGTCCCGCCTTGACCTCAGAGACAGTGCCGAGAACAGCAGGAAGGGACTACATGCGTGGTTCCCCCGCCACCAGGGCTAAGTGCCATGCAGACAGGGTCCCCACCGATGGCTTGAGACCAAGGAGCTCACAGCTCCTGCTGCAGCAGGTCTGCAACCTGTCTGAAGATTAATTTTCCCTGACACTCTGTTGCTCCCCTGTCAGCCTCAACTCACTGAAAATCGCGGTCAACAGAAGCTCAATGGTCTAAGCCTCCCTTCTGTCAATTTAGCTTCTAGAAGCCCAAACTGCCGTCACCGACATCTGGGCTGTCCGCGTCCCGCTGGGGGTCACACAAAGACCTGTGTCCGGGTGCTTTCTCTGCCGGGAGGGCGCACCACGCAGGACCGCGCAAGTCGGAGCCGTCTACACTGCCCAGACAGTGGCTCTGGTGAGGGGACTGGACAGGGGCCACAGAAAGATACAGAAACAAGTACACAGGTCAACAGAAGGCCAGGCTGGAGGGAACAGAAGCCCCCCTAGAAACGCTGGGGGGCCCACAGCGCGACCACCTTCCTGTCCGTCACCAGCCACGGGCCAGACCTGGGTAGCAGGTAGTGCCGAAGCCCTTTATCCCAAAATGCTAGCTGTCTTCCTGGGAGTGCTTTTCTCAAACACAGCTGTGCATTCTGGGGGGAAACTGAGGAAAGGAGTCAGCAGACAGGCCTGAGGGGTGTTCATAGAGGAAAACGCTGTCCAGCAGCACAAACCCGCCTGTGTCTAGCTGTGGGGTCAGACCTTCACCGGCAGAGGCGGCGGCCGCTTGGCTCAGGCCTCGGACTGGAAGGGAGGGGTCGGCGATGTTACAGGATGGGGCGAACAGCCGGCACCAAAAGGCAGGAAAGAGGAAGGGGTCATCACCACTAAAGACAGAGTCGCCATGATTTAAAGAAAAACTGGGAAAATAAATGTCCCACTGGGCCTTGAAAAGAAAGCATTAATCAATATTTAATGGTTCTTCAGACACTAAGAATTCATATGGCAAACCCATTTGAAAGGCCCTCATTCTACTTACTTGGGGGTAAAAAGTTATTCTCCCTAAGATTCAGAGCCCAGGAAATGGGGGAAATGAGCACGATCTGTGCAGAGATAAAGGGGCAGACAGCTCAGTGACGGGGTGGCTGTGGTCTCAGTGCTGAAGGAGCGCAGAGCCAGGTGGCCGAGGTGCTCCTGCGCATGGGACACCTGGGGAGCCCAGCACACATGGGGGCTGCCGCCGGGGGGCTGGACTTGCCCAAGAGCGAGCCCAGGCCCGCCCACAGTGTCCACACCTGCAGCTGCACAAGCCCCACCACCGCGGCCACCTGCTGCTCGAGCAGGCTGGGCAGTCAGGGCCAGCGAGGGACATGTGTCCCAAGCACACCTAGGGGTCCCGAGGTTCCACTGCCACCCCTGTGTCAGCAGTCGCCAGAGTGTTGCTAAGTGAGCACCAGGATCCAACGTGCACTTCAGCACCCGGGAAGTTACGCTCTGGACCCATGCGAGTGACTGGGCTCTTTGGTGCAAGGGATGCAAGTTGGCACCATACCCAGATGTTCCCTAAGCAGAGAGGACATGGGAGAAATGCATGTTCCCGCTGCTGACAGGGAGTGTCACTACAAAGGTGTCATGGTTCCGTCCATCCTGTCGCTGGCGGTACTCCAAAACCAAGATGCGCAAGGTGCCCTATCTCAGCTAACCAGGCCCCAGAGGACTGGGGAACGCTGTGACCAAAGCCCGATGCGGGGGTCACCTTCACGGGCTGGCCACGGCAGTGGCCTGTCCCCCATCAAGACCTCTGCTCTGAGCCACCGCTAACGGCCTCCAAGAGAGCGCACACATCCCTTTACATCTGCCCATTCACGTGGCTCCTGCCGGGCGGTTCAAACCCCCTCCTGCATGATTGCCTGGGTGACACGACCCCTGGGGGCAGGGAGCCTCCTGCTGGACATCCCTACAGCACTGACACAAGAAAGGTCACAACCATGCCAAGAACCTAAGTCAGGGCATTCCAGAATCACCGTGATGACATATTTCCCGAGACCCCTTCCACAGCTGATTTTCAAATCGCGGAAAGTCCAAGTTTCAAAAAACCAAGACCGAGTGCCCTCTAGTGGCTCCGTGCACTCCCTCCCAGATGGTGAGGAGTGGGCCTCAGCTCCCTTGTTAATTCTACAGAGGACATAAAAAAGATAATTCATGACAGAGAGCCAAAGACAGAGAGCCAAAGTCCCTCATTTAACATGACAGCCGCATGTCATCAAGATTTCTAACAGAACCGTGTAAGTTGGTAAAATATTGAAGGAGGGAAAGTTTCCATCACCAGTTAAACACGAGTGAACCTGGGATGAAAGCAATCACATGGGTGTGACATGAACGCAGCGATAAATCCTGATTGAGTAAAGCAAATGCAATCAGGTTCCATCCGTGCAGACCTGCTGGCCCCCAAAAGGCGGTGGGGAATGGAGGATGCATGTACCAGATCCTGAACCCTCCAGCGACCTGTCTGCCAAGCTCTGCAGGGGAAGACACACCCTTACCCGGTCATCAGAGAGACCGAGCTGGAGCCCAGAGTGAGCTGTCTCTGTGGGGAGGGGCCCCTTCCCCCCGAACCTCAGCATGCCTCGGAGCCCAAGAACGTCCGGCCTTCCGCTGGCGCCACTCTGCCCAGCTGCCCGTGTGGAGCTGGAGGGGGCGGGCTTCTGGAGGACAGGCCGGCTCCCCGGTGCTTGTCCTGTTCACATAGCACAGAGGGGCAGGGACTGCTAACATCCGCTGGTTCGAACATCTCGAAATGCAGGAAAAGCTGGCCAAAGCCGGGATACCACCACACGCAGAAGCAGCAGCGTGCCGGGGAACGGCCTGGGACTTGGAATCCCAAGGTCAGGCCCTCGATCCATGGGTGACACAACTGCCTTCCCCACCCTGACTCCACACTCTCTTCCGAGAGCAGCACCCTCCCAGCTCTTAACCACTTGGGTAAAGGCCGGGGACACAGCAGAGGGAAGGGGCTCCATCTCAGGACTTGTATGGGACCCCTGAACACAAACTACCCAAGGTTACATAACCTCAGAGCTCCTGGGGTCGCTATAGGGAGAAACTCTTCCTGGAAGGAAGCCAACAATGAGAGAGCTCAATGGTGAGGGGACCGGGTATGGGAGGCAGAGAGACAGACAGACAGAACTCGAGTGCCAGGATGCAGCCAAGCCTTACATCAGCTCTGCAAACATGTGCCGAGTGCTTTCCTGGGCCAGGACCCTGGGGGGCAAAAAGAGGAGGACACACAGCCCCCACTCGTGAGATGCTCCTAGGACAGTGCTCAGTGTTGAGCAAATGCCCACAACAGAGATCTGCACCTCTTCACCGTCCAGGTCACTTGCCAGCCCCTGCCACTGGGTGTGGGCACTTGGCTGGCTCCCACCCCTGAGCCGGGAGGAGTCCTGTGTGTCACTTCCAGGCCAGAGCCTCTGACCATGGGGCAGGCTCCCCTGACGTGTCCCTTTCTTTGTGGCGCTGTGGCCAGCAGAACTCAGATGACACCTGCCATCTGTGACCACAACAGGCGGAGCTGTTACCAACCCTTGACGGATGGGGAGGGACAGCAGGAAACAAAGCTTTGTGTTTTAAACCGGTGAGATCTGGGGATTATCTGTCACCATGGCAAACCGGACTGATTCAGTCCAAGGGCAGGGGGGGAGGAGGAGACCCCGGAACCAACAACAGGATGAAATAAACAACGGATCTCCAAAGAGCTGTGGGTGGTGAAAGTACACGCTCACCAGGGAGATGCCTGCTCGGGGCTCTGAAGACAAGCAAGACAAGTTCAGTGTGGATACCTTAACGCGAGACTATTTTTTTTCACTTCTAAATTCGAGGTCAAAGGGAAATAGAAATTGAAACCAATAATTTAGGAAATAACACCACAGGTCAAAAAATCTGAAATAGAGTCAAAGAGGTACTTGGAAGGAAACCACAAGACCTTAGATATTTTCATTAAACAGA